CAATTCATTTTTCAGAAAAATACTGTTACACTGATTAATTTTTTCATGTAATGGGAGCCAAACAGTGGCGAAGTATCGAATTTGTATGAAGAAACAAACAGAAAGAAAGCTAAACAGTGTATTAGTTTTAAAATTGATTATATTCACAAGGCACATTTGACCCATCTGATGCGACAGAATGCCAGAGGTTTCTGCGGTGGCACCGTGGAATTTGCCATTCCAGTTCAAATTTTGTACGTGTTAATATTAAATAATATCTTTTGGAAAATTAATGCACATTAATACTTTTAAGATTATAGAATTGACTTTTTTATTTTTTATTTTTTAACAATTACCTGTAAATTTACGCCTTGTCTGTGAATGTTAGTTTTAACTTATAAGTTCCTTTCAACTTAAAAATAATTAGCCCCCGTTTGATGGAAATTTAAATTAAACTTTTAGCAAATTCTGATAAAAGTTGATGAAAAATATAATTAAAAAAATATAAATCCTATAAAATATGTGGTTGAAATTTATTGACTTTAAAGCTTAATTTACTATATTTATGTACAGAAAGAAATATTAATATAATAGTCAACTTCAATTTTCTCAAAATTAATTGCTGGCGTGAAGTAATTGACAACTGTTGATGACTATTTGAGATTATGTTCAAAATTATTTTATTAAAATACAAATAAAATCTACACGAAAATGAAAGACAACTGGCTTATAAGTCGAAATAAGTAATTCTTTTATTAATCAAGATTAAGATCCCGTTTGGTACACATTAATGTAAAAATGAAAATGAAAAATATAGTCGTTACGGGACCCACACAAAAGATAGAAAATCAAATATGGTGACTTGATGTGATGGATAAAGATCATATTTTTCATTTTAATGAGCAAATAATGAAAATCAAATGAGGGCTAAATAAGAGTTTCTTTCTACTTAGAATTAAGAAATCTAATTTATCAAAATATGAAATAACTTTACTTTTACAAAATAAAATTACTTCAAAAAAATTTAGTAACAAAATCTATTGTTAATCATATTAAAGATAAATAAGTTATTTATGTTGACATAATGTAATAAGTCTTTTAAAAACAAATTATTCAAATATATTTATAAAGGTTATTAATTATTTGGACACTCCATCCCTAAAACTAAGTTCCTATTTGATAAGAATTAAAATTAAATTTTTAATAAATTTTGATAGAAATTAATAAAATATTTTATTGAAAAATTATAAATTTCATCAAATATGTAATCAAAATTAATTACTAACGGGTGAGTTGGTGGTCTGCCTGAATTTGACACATCTTTCTCATGATTGGACCCAAAAAAAGGGTCCATATTTGTGTAAAGTTTCAAAGGTGCTTATAAGCTATTGTTCCAGCCAAACATGGCCTTCGAATATTTGAATCTTATCAATTATCCCCGCAATCAACGTCACAAATACGAAAGATTAGATCTATACAGACGAAATCCACTGGATTACAGCCACGTCCCCACTGTGTGTTGGATCCCACCACTTTCCTACAACCTTATAAACCTCAATCCCACCATTTTTATTTATCACTTTTAAGCTCAAATCTCTACTATAATAAAACTTCTCTCTCTCTCTCTCTATACTGTGTTTGTTTCGGAAAAATGGGAGGCTTCGAGAATCAGGTAAAGGACAGAGCAAAGGAGCTCCAGATTATATTCAAAAAGGGTTTCAAGATTGTTGGGGATTCTTGCAAGAAAGGATGGTACAAGGTTAAGCACTTCAAGAAATGACAGAAATTCGAACTGTTTGTCTAATATCTTTAATGGGTTGTTTTCATTAAATAAGAAAAAATTATTCAATTTTTAGGATTGTTTGATGTAAAGTGATATTTGTGTTTTCTTTTCTGGTTTTGTACCCTATTCTTCAATTCTTGAACTTGAAATTTATTACCCAATTTTTGTTCGTTAAATAATATAATTTTGTTTTTATGTTGGATTTTTGCCTATTTTTACTCTGGACTGAGTTACATGTAAATGTAATGTACAGCATGTGAGGCCTGCCCTCATTTTTTTATTGAGGCCCCCTCTCCCCCTCCCCCCTCCCCCGGGGGGCAACTTGTGAGGGGTTGTCATCCCAGCTGTGAGCTACCAGCATCAATTTCCTTTTACGCTACCTGTGGGTCAAGTTTGGTTTGTACAATAAGAAATATTCAATATTATGTAGTTCGTTATATGTATATTTTGTCTTCCTTTAGTTCTCGGCAAAGTCCCAAATTAAATGGATGACATTGTTGGGACATAATTGTCATTATATTCTCTCCTCTTTAGAGTTGGTCTGTGGCTGTCCATTTGCTCATCAACTAGGTGGCAGTCTTATATTACTCTGTGGTTTGCTCCATCGTCTGTCCTGATTTCAAAATTTATTCATAGTAGGCATGAAATTTGGTTTCAAAATTTGCAGAAATAATTTGTGCAAACAAAGTCTTTTACGTGGGCGGGTGGATCATACACTTCACATTTATGCACATTATTTCTCATCATAGGACAAGATCTATGTTGACAGCAGCAAGTTTTGTGCATTTCTTCTTTGTGTTGAGATTTACTTTTGTTGTTCAAATCTTTATTTGAACAACAATTTGAACAACAAAAGTAAATCTCAACACAAAGAATAAATGCACAAAATTTGCTGCTGTCAAGATGGATCTTGTCCTATGATGGGAAATAATGTGCATAAATGTGAAGTGTATGATCCACCCGCCCAGGTTAAAGACTTTGTTTGCAATCGAATACTATCATGGGTTAATATGGAAGCCTTGAATCATTTTGAAATGGAGACTTTATATTGACATGTAATAGATAGAATATTAAGATCTTGTTTGATTTGACCAAAAATATATATTAAAATTAACAATAAATTTTAATCCTATATTTTCTAGGATCTACCATTTTTGAATCAAACGTTCCATCAACCTCTACAAAAATTTAGAAAAAAATCTGATTTTTATCTAAAACGAAGAGAGATTAAATATATAAATGCCACATACGGCTGTTATGGCATTATGCCTATGGTTGTTGTAGCATTATACCTCAACTTATTTCCTATCATGAAAAGTTACTAAACGAATCTTATTTACGAATTTGGAGTATTTCTATGCTATGAATTAAGAATTACATTAAGGAGTTGTTTGACAAAGTTTTTGATAAAAATTTTAACAATTTTTTATAAAAATTGATGAAATATATGGTTGAAAATGATAAAAATTATGAATATTATGAAATGTGTTATTAGATTTTGATTCAAGGTTTTTGTATCTTCAAATATCCTAACAACCATAAATATAAAAAGAGATTAAAGAACTAATATCACTTGGAAAGAAATTTAAGTTAATTTCCCCTCTATGTCTTTAACGAGTCTCTGATATAATAAATATAATTTCGAATCTATTGATATATGTTTACAACGTAACACTACACCTAGTGCGTATACCTGGAGCAAATCAAATCTCATGAGATACATCTTTTACATGATAATTGTCTTGTCTCTTATACAATTTCAACGCAACCATTGGCATGGACTTGAAGGGAAACTCAAGATGAAGCCACCCCACACCCAAAATCTATTGAGACCTAATACAATCTTTCACACCTAATTATTTTTCGTTTTCAATTTTAACGGAAAATAGAATTTCTGTTTTATGCACATCTTATCAAAACAGAATCTCAGAGCATCTCATTTTGTGCAACATGCAAGCAAGTTTCTACTGATAATTTCTTGCAGTCTAAAATTTGAATTTGGCACCTCCTTTCACTCTTATTGAGTTCTTGATGTCCCTACATAATCGAAAAATCTATCTTACAAGAGTAATAATAAACAGAACGACAAGCGATGAACTACTATGGATAATTCCAAACCTGCAATTCAATGAGGAATGAAAAAAAAAAATAAGACCCATACATAGAAACACACTTTCAGTTGTTTATCTCAATATAAAAACTACGCCCACTCATCAGTGAAAATATTCGCTAAGCGTTTCCTTAACCACTTGTTCTCCAATCCACTTCAAATAAAGTCTCTCAAGCAAACTCTAAATTGAAGAAATTTACGATGGAGATCTCACAGCTCTTTGTCTTTTGTCTCTCACAAATAATGTCTTTTGTCTCAAAAATAGAAAAACAACCAAAAAATTCATTTATGAAGTATAGAAGCTATGTCAATCTATGGTAGAAAATGTAAATGACCAATAAATTTAGGAATGTTTTTGGCTCCATTTCATGCTATTTAGCCCATGTTTGATAGTCATTTTTTGTTAAGAATGAATATTTGACTAGTAACTTTATGATGATTACGTGGTTAAAAAATGGAAAACACTTCCGGGTTTTCATGAAACATATTCGGTGTTGAGAATATACAATTGAAAATAAGTATGATAAAAAAAGAGTTTTTAAATAATGATTGTTAAATAGAATTTTAATTTGTGTCAAGCCTTATGGAAAATAAATTATCAAATTCTTCCTCGCTTGTGTGATATTAGACACCCCCCCCCCCCCCCCGATTAATCATGCATGTCAAAGCTGACCCTAAATTGAACATCGCAATCAAGTTAGATAGGATTTATTAAGTTGGAAATATACATTCGACGGGTTTTATTCGTTTAGAAAACATAATATTTTAATGCTGGAATTGTTCCCTTTAAACATATTAAATCTGAAATTTGGGAATGAAATCCATATTTTGCTATTTAAATTTGTGACATAATCATAAGAGTGAACAAAAATTAACCTTGTAAAATATAAATATTTTCATGGAAGAAATAACCATGGGAAATGGAAGTAATCTAATTAATCAAACAGTGAAGCTCATATATATTAACTAATTTGTTTCAATTAATCTTGAGTAAATCAAACATCTTTAGTATAATAGTTCAAAGACTCTACATTTTTTTTTTCCCTTTTCGTACGGAGCCATGAAATCGCTAGGCAAGGAATGGTTATTATGAGATGAAAATACAAGGACTAAAACTTCTTTAATTACTCAAGGGATTCCACCACCTCCTATTCCACCACCAGCTCCTCCACCAAATCCACTACCAGATCCTCCACCCAATCCGCCTTCGCCACCAAAACCTCCTCCTCCTCCTCCTTGAGCACCATTTCCAAACCCACCACCAAATCCTCCTCCAAAACCAGAACCACCCCCTGTTCCTCTACCTCCACCTCCACCAAATCCTCCACCCCTTCCTTCAGAACTACTTCCGAGCCCCCCACCCAATCCTCCTCCATAACTAGAACCACCCTCAGATCCTTCACCTCTACCTCCACTTCCTCCTTGAGCACCATTTTCGAACCCACCACCCAATCCTCCTCCCGAACCAGAACCTCCTTCCGTTCTTCCACCTCCTCCTCCACTGAACCCTCCACCACCACCACCTCCACCTCCACCTCCACCTCCTAAATCCCAGTGATCAAAGAATTTTTTCTCATCGTAGAAAGAACCCTCTATGCCAATAAGCTTTCTTGCATTGGTGGTACAAATAAGAATACCAAGAAGAACCAAGAGAACAAAATTGAAACTCATCTCAATTTGCAAGTAAAGATTGGTATTGAATGTTGATTTGTGAGAATGTAGGACAGCTAAAAGGGTTTATATAATGCTACTGATTCGTACCATAAACCACCTTTGAATTTTTAATGCAGCTTATAACTGTTTCTTTGAAAAGAAAACACTTCACCAAAACTTGATTACTCTGATTATTAGTTAAATATTTTGTGCTTGAATTAATGAGTGAGTTATTGGGGGTTCTCTTTAACCTGGCAGTTGTTACATTTGTAGTGATTCGATTTATGTTTTTAGTTATTAATTAGTGCAACATATATGGTTACTTACGTTAGGGGTATATACACATATTCTCAGTGGCGAATCCAGAATATCGAATCAGCTAGGGCGGCCATTAACTCACAATCGCAATAGTAAAATTGTTTATTAATATTTAATTAAATAATATTAAAAAAAATTTCAATCAATGTATAAATACACTAAAACACAAAAGTCGTATCCAACTAAAAATATAATCTAATACAACCCAAAACAATGAGAAAAAAAAAAACATTTTCCCACAATACATGCATGATCAAGTTTCAAAAAAAATTTCAAACTTAAATGAGATAAGATAGAGTTTATACATAAATAATGATAAAACGGTAAAGATGAGCTCCGAGCTTCACGAATGTTATGCAAAATTTTCAAAATAATGAATTTTAGAATTAGAATAATTTTTAATCTCAAAAGAAAAAGTGTTTTCGAATTCTTAAAATAATAAAAAGCAACACTTAAGTTGTCCAAATTTGAATTTTATAAAATAAATTGATAAAACCTAACAATAAAAGTATATATATTATGAAGTAATAATTTGAGTCAATAAAATTTTTAAAGAAATTATTTCGAAAATGAAAATTAATTACATATAATTGTTTAAGTATTATTTATTGTATTAAAAATTTGAACCAAAAATGGAATTACATGGAATTGAACCACGTACCTTTCACATACACAGGGACCCTCTGCCATATAAGCAACATTCCCTTTTGTTGAATGTCAGGGTAATTATTAATTAATATTTCATTATTACTTTTAAAAATAAAGGAGTGAAGTGCTGTGGAAGGAAATCGAACCTGTGTGACAATACATGGAGAAGCAACGCCTGTCCATCTCACCTGCACGCTGATTCGTTGAGAATTGCTACAAATATTATATATATAGAAACATTTAACACTAATTTCTATTAACCATTTTTCTCCACCAATCCAGCACGGGTGGCCGCGCCGGCTCGCCAGGTGCTGGATCCGCCCCTGGTTCACTCTAATGAGAAAGATACATTCTAGCATAACAGGGCAATCCATCTAAATGAACTTGTATCTGCAATAAGCTATTCAATATAAAGCAGCAACTGATCAACGTCAAGTCGATTTTATTTGTACAAAATACTAGCATATGCACCAGTCAGATAGCAGGATATATACACAGAATTCATTGACGAAGGTCAACTGTCTTCTAAGCATATACAACTCAACTAAGTAGCCCACTGTTTTCAGAACCACGGCATTTACACCACAATACAGCCATTAGTTACGAGTTCTACATGTCAACGTTGTTGATTCTTTAACGGAAGTCTTCCATCTCAGCGTCCGGGAGCTCAAATTTATTCATTGACACGATAGAAACGCAGCAATTTGAGTGAAACTACATTCTCCTGGAAATAAGCAAGTTAATGAAAATAGTAACCTCCATGAAGGTTTTTCACTCAACATATAACATCTGATATATACTTTTCCAAAAAACTGAACAGGGAAAAAACAAACTTTAATCACCGTAACTATCTTCTTTGCAATGAAGTTGATCTAAAATTAGGTCAGCTTTACCTGACATATATCCTCAGACTGACGGGGAAAATGAAAGCCCATTGAGCAGTTCTGCAATGCCTCAGGATGTTTCATCCATGCTTTATGGGCGTCACTTAGTTTGATCTTATACTTAAACATCTGAAATGAAAGAAGAGTCTTCAGCATAAAATGGCATCAAATCCTTAGAAATAAGAAGACTAACATCTTTGTACCGGGTGCACAACTCCAAACCTTCTCTCCCCAACTTTTCAGAAAGCATAGATAAAATTACAAGATCAATAATCCAAGAGAATAAGACTGATATTGACAAGAGGGAAATAAATCCATTCAAACTACGCGCAATGAAATGAAGGTTTGGATGAGAAAATTTAAAACAGCAGCCATGATTACAAACCTCAGAAAGTGGTATAGTTGGTTTCTCCCGTTCCTCACCATTGATGTTTATACCGGTGCCCTGGCATTCTGGGCAAAACACGGAGTAGATTTGCTTGCTTGAGGCTTTTATCTCATCTTTCTTCTCTGTTTCACCATCCTTCCCTCTAACCTTTCTCCTGGATTTTCTTTTCGCTTGAGGTGCTACTGACCGATTTGCATAAATTTCAGTTTCACATAGAAGTATCCAGTGAATGAGGCACGATATATGGAATACGTGAAAAGCCTACATAAACACAATTATAAAAGCTTATATACATAATTGCAAAGGAGAAAATTATTAAATATCAGAATCTTCATTCTGAACCACAACATAAATCTGTGGTAAGTGCTAGGGAGTTATACCCCAGTCAAATTTCTACTGCTGCAAACAAGTCTACCAGTTTTCCTGTTCAAGAGTGCAGCAACATCTTTACCCGGGAGCATTTTCTGTTGGCAGATATCGCACAACCTCTCAGAAGCAACATTATGCTGTCTTCTCAACTCTTTCCTCATGGTTTTGCTTACGATGATTCTTGATTGCACCAGCTGATCATCATTCCCAGCTAACAGAAATTTTGAGTTTGGATTATTTGAAGATTGAGACTCTTCTCCAGAAGAGTCATTTTGGTTACTTAGACCCTCACTGACGTCCTCTGGATCAGAAAATGACTTCCGCTTCTTGCTTCTAGAACTGCCACTGTCCGCAGCTTCTGAATGATGACTAGAGGGAAGCAAATATCTAATGTCACCAAGTAAAGCCTTTCGACCTAAATTGTAATTATAAGCAAAGGCAACAACAGCGAAGTCGTGCTCCAAAACCAAGTCAGTATCCTCATTGGCAGAATCCTTATTCACCAGCCATTCACACCATATTTTACAAATTTCATTAGAAACCCCATCCTTCTCACTAATCCTAGCAGCAATTCTTCCAACACCCATCTGCCTCACAACCAAATCACATACCTCTTCTTTCTGGAGAACGCCTGGAATAACCAGATCAGAACCATTTCCATTCAGATTCTGATCATGGGAGCTGTCATCACAACCCATATCATCCTCACCAACGTGTGAAACATCATTACGTCCCAAGTTCTCATCAAAACTAACAATAGGAAGGCTATCTTCATCTACATGATGGGTGTCTAACAGCTTAAATCTCTCGGAAGTTGAAACAAGTAAACTCTTATCTTGTTCTGATGAATCATCATGGAAGAAAAACACACCATCATTAAATGGCCATGGATTTGGTTTTAACAATGTAGATTTTGCAGCAGCAAGCCTTTCAGAGTGTAGACTACCTTTCAAGTGATCAAATAATATTGCATCACTATAGCACGGTGCAAGACACAATGTGCAGAAGAATAACAACTTCTTTCCATCTTCCCTGAGCTCAACATACATGTGCCCCTGTGATCTCACATTCCGCAGAGTTGTCCTCACCAACTGTTCTTTCAAACTGACAGCATTCATCTTTGGAAACCCTAATTCCCTCCTCCCCGCCATTCAAATCTATAACAAATTCCCTAAGTCTGAACCTTATGACAACTAAATGAAAACCTAGGAGGTCCAATTTCCACAGAATAGTCGTACCTTACTCAAAGCGTGAGCAAGATTTACAGCATAAACAACGAAATGCCAATTTTATTACATGGAATTGCAAATTTGATTAAAACCATATGAAACCGTAGACATCTCAAACTCCATAAATATGCCCAAATTCACATTTCTAACTTCATTTAAAACTAATCGCCCATGTTTTAGCATTTTTCAGGAATTCAATAAGAGAATAGGGAATTTCACACTAAATTTCCAAAATTCAGATTCAACTAACGAAGACAAAATCCCCAAATTCCTCGCTGAATTCGAACTACAAGCTCGATTCCCCACAAGTGCAACCAAAACAAGTAAAGACAGGAAATTAATAAATCCCTAACAGAACGTTCAGAAAACCCTAAACTTACAACATCGCGGCCTTATAGGTATTATAAAAGTCTTCACAAATCTTCGAGCTATTCGATTTCCTGCGACGATTCCGCCACCTAATGCATAGAAGTAAATCATAACATAGCTTGAATCCTCCATTGAAATCATCTCCATTTCCGTCAAAGCTCCGAAGGAGAAAAATCCGAGAGGGAAAGAAAAAAAGAAAAACGAAAAATCAATAGGCAAGATCAATATGAGAAATACATTCACAGTTTTTTGTATGTATATCTGTATGTATATAGGGAGAAATCCCAGAGCAAAAGAGTGGATGAAACAGAAACTATTCTTCGAACAGAAAACTTGTGGGGTGCAACTTCTTATCTTATATAATAAATAAATTATTGAGAGAAAGGTTACTAAGCGTTCGATTAAGGGAATCGCGAGATTTGAGTGAGATCCAACGGCAGACAGTTTGGGAGTATGGATAGAATATTTTATTAAGTGAATTTGTAATGAAGAATAATTATCTAACAAACAATTTAAATTTTTAGATGACGACAAACAAAGATTTCATGCAATTCATAATTTTTCATCATATATTTTCTTACTTTTTATCAAAACTTACTAAAAATACGATTTTAATCTACATCAAACTAGGGATCTGGTCAAAAATTATTTTTGGAGAACGACCCGCTAAAAAATAGAAAAAGGTGAGTGATGCATATGCAAAATTGTTTTATTAAATAAAGTGTGATTGAAATGAATTTGGAGGAAAATAAATTTTAAATAATCTGTATTAATTGTAGGGACTATATCAACAAAAGCATGATATATAATAATTTAAACAAAAGGTCAAATAAATGATTAGCTATTAATTGAATAGAGATGGCAAATATATACTATATACTTTGGCTGGCGATGTTTCTATAGGCTGAGATTAATTATCCTTATTTATCATCTATATTTATTTATTTATGTTTTTAAATATGATTTGTTCAATTTTAAAATTAAAAATAAAAATAAAAATTAAGGTTCAAGGTGGGTTCGAAAAGAATGTTTGAAAATAATTAGTTGCAATAACTTGCAGAATAATAAAATGTAGAAATAAAATTTATTTACTGATCGAGTTTCATGACAGTACAATGTTCTAAAGTGAAATTATCCATCAATAACTGTTGCGATCTCTGTGGACATTACTCACAGGATACAACGATCAAACAAATCACTTGCACAAAAATCACGTATAGTTTCAGAACTCTTTAGTGTAAAATGTATAATTTCGGTGTAAAAATTATAGAATATGGAAATTATAATTTCGTTTTTTGATGTATATTTTTTCAAAATCATATGAATGTTTATATAGGCAGAATATATATAACTACCTCCACTATGATTCAGAAAGATTTACAGTTTTTAATGGAACGTGGATAATAGGTTATAGATAGTGGGTTGTTGAAAAACGGTTATATTATACTAGCTAGTTTGATCCATTAAATAATTTCAAAATCAATTATAATTAAAAAAATAATTATTATTATTCTAATCAAGGAAGCCTAAGAGCCCAATACCCCAATCAAAAACTTTTTTATCATTGGGTGGTATGTGACCCGAACCCCTCAACCTCCCACACAAATTCCACACTTTCTATCACTTGGGTACTTTATCTAAATTAGTTATTTCTTACACATTATATTGTATAAATATCTAACAAATCCCCACATAAAAAGAAATGAGATAAATATAAATATTACTTTGAAGTACTGTAGAAATCACGGAAGCTTAGATATCTATCGACTTGAACCTTGACTTTGTATATTCCATCGAGCTTGCTAACTATAGAGTGAACTATGTCTTTAACTCTACAATTATAATGGCAAACTGGGACAATTGAACACACACATAACCTCTAAAATAATCATTGAGTTCTTGTGGTTGTGTTTATTTTTGCCGTGAACTTTCTCAATTTCTTTGAGTACTCTTGAGAATTAGCCTCAATTCTCATAGAAAGCGGCCACACTTCCACACTCAAATAGGTGCTTCTATCAAGGGTGTATTGTATCTAAACACGCCACTGAATATCAACTATGGTAAACATTAAAAGAATTAAGTTATCCACTAATCAATATAGTTGATACTACACATCATATGGAGGGGTTTGAAATAAATCCAATGTAGTACTCTCACAAATCACTCCAATAACTTTGTTGTCCTATTGGACCTCGTCCATGATATCGCCAATTGCAAGGTTGGATTTCATCTTCCTCGATATTTTCTGAACTAGTTCTTTAGCTAATCCTTTGGTTAATGGTCAGCAATATTATCAGTTGACTTCACGTAATCAATAGCTATAACCCCATCCTTAAACAGCTGACGCACAATATTATACCTCATACGAATGTGTCTGGACTTTTCATTGTAGGATGAATTTTAAGCTCTTGAAATAGCTGTTTGACTGTCATAAAGGACAAAAATATTTTGAAATGGTTTAGATCATAAAGGAACATCCATAAGAAAATTTCTTAACCATTCAACCTCCTCATCTGCCTTATTTAAAGCTATAAATTCAGATTTCATAGTAGATTTCGCAATGCAGGTTTGCTTAGTGGACTTTCAAGACACAGCACCGCCCGCTAATGTAAAAGCATATTCAATCGTAGATATACTTTTATTGGTATCGAAAATTCAATTAGCATCACAATATCTCTCAAGTACACCAGGAAATTCGGTATAATGTATTTCCCAATCTAGAGTGTAGCTCAAATACCTTATGACTCGAATGAGAGCATCCCAATGTTCACCGTCAGGATTACTAGTATACCTGCTAAGTCTACTGATTGCACATGCTATATTAGGTCTTGTACATTTCATGATATACATGAGACTACCGATCATTCTAGCATATTCTAAAGCAAAAACATTAGGTCCTAAATGTTTTCTCAAATGACGGCTTGTATCAAAAAGTGTTTTAGTATTAATACAATTGCATTGGTTAAACTTTTTAAACACTTTTTTGTACATAACTAGTAAAGTGAACATGCGTTGCACGTTAGTTGATTAATTTTAAAAATAAACTCCGTAATTTTAAGAAAAAATCATTTATAAATGTGAAAGATATTTATAAGTTGGTTTAAATTGACTTACTTTTCTTTTCTTTTCTTTTCTTTTTACAGTTTTGATTCTTGATATGAACATTTGGTATTCATTATATTAACTTCTCGTTACAGCTACCAGTTTATTGAGGTTATATATTGTTTTAGTTCGTAATATTTTGTATCCAATATTATTAAATTTACAGCTATAAACATCATAGTAATGTAGTTCTTTTCCACAAACTAAGCTGAAACATGATTATATATAAGGCATGCATAAACTTCTTCATTTTATAAAAAGAAAAAAAAATAGCTACATCATTAAATTGTTACTCAATTAATAACATTACAATGAAACTTTTGAATTACCGTGAAGTGGCTTCAATTACGAATAGAAACTAAATAATTTTTTTTTTAAAAGGTTAAAACTGAAACTCCTATACGAATCCAATACGCAACAGTTAGCAGACAATCAACAATCATAAAATGTTATTCACAAATGATATTTCTAGACCAAAACAAATGAGTTTACTCGAACTTGTAAATTAAAGAATCTATCTTCGAACTGCACCTCCTTTATCAAGAAATCAGCTCCAATGGTAGCCTTCTATCAGTTACTGATCAATGGTTCTAGGCAAAAAAGACGCACACGAGTTTGCTACCTGATGCATCATTCATCTCATTCCATTTGTGCACTATCTTATCAACTTTGAATCCTAAAGTTGTAGCACGTAAAACATGGTGAGAAATTATAGATCCCAATATATTCATAGGAAAACTATAAAGTACATATCAAAAAATGAAAAAGAAAAAACAAAATATATAGTTCATAACTACCTTCTAAAGTAGCTGCCTTTGAACAATGATTATTGACTATAACTGCAATATTTGTACATGATGTTCTAGCAATCCAATTTTTTCAATTGCAACCTCTAGGCATTCTTCTCAAGTTGGTAAACCCAATTTAAATTCCACAAGAGAACCAGCATGATAAATTGCCTCTTGAACCTAAATTGAAGGACGAACACTGAATTGTGAAGAAGAAATTGAGTTAACCAAAGATGATGATGCCATTGAGGGTGTTATTATGGCAGAGAATACCAAGCAATGCAAGATAATATTTGTTTTAAAATGGGAAAAACAAGCGAGCAACAGGTTATTAAAGTATGAGGTTAACCCCTTTTTCAATACCCAAGACGGCGGTGAATTTTTAAGGATGTGTAGTTAGTATTAATTAGAAACTATTTTACCAATGTGATAGGGAAATGCTTCTTGTATGGAAATTTGATTCGATATAGAATTGTGAAAACCTATAACGTAAAATTTACTTTATAAGACCATGTATCCTTGAGATCTCTTTTGGCTAATGTCATTGATGGTAGATTTTATGAATTTCTAGCATTCATCATATTATACATTATATAAACATGACTTTTTGTAGTTAGTGTATGGGAATAGAATTCCACGACTATCATAAGATAGAAAGGTTGAAATGAAGAAAATGAAACACTTACAAGTGAGTTGTATGCCACCACAATCCAAAGAGAACAATTATACCAAGTGATATATTTTCCAGGGCATTAAATTAGTAAGACAGATTCATAAAAAGAAGAAATTACCAAACTTTTTCATTGTGAGATGATGCAAATTTTCAACTCTAAAGACACTCAAATACAAAAGCCTGCAAATGGAAAAAATTTATGTTAGAAGACATAACACAATGTAAAAAATAAAAAAAAGTGTGATATCTTAAAAAAGTGGAAATTTGAACATAAAAATGAAGTTTGTCTAGATGGTAGGTCTTTTGAAACTTTGCAGGTGATTTTGTGCCTTCATCTTCTTCAACCACCAACTTTACAATTTCACCAAAAAAAAAATAATAATAATAATAATAATAATAAAAAATTCTACTTTGTCTTTCATAAATCTTTTCTCACGCTTAAGGCTTTCAATCATTTTAAAAATACGCATTTATCCCATGAATTTAGATCCATCCTAAAGGTCAGGGACCATTTACGTAGAAACCCCATAAGTCATGGACAATTTGGGCCAATTCTCGTTCAAAAAATGGATAGGCGATACTTAAGCCAAGATGTGTATCTGATTTTGGGACGATTGAAAAGAGAAGAAAAAAGAAAAGTTGGTATACATCATACGTGTGAGTCATATTCTAAGAAAGTCAGCTAAACTGTGAGGGGGGAAAATCATTTCATACTATAATTTTTGAGATCTAAACTTCATTAAATCTACCTATTGACGGCTAGTGTTGTTCTATCATTAGCTTATGTACAATGTATTGTGAAATGTAAACTTCAAACAGATGCTCTAAAGAATAAATGTAGGATCGGCTAATCTGAATGCCATAAGTTATGTTTGCATGGGGCTTATTTTTGAGATTAGCAAAAGGTTTAAAGTCATAACCCAAAAATCACTAACATTTATGTGAACATATATTTTTGAGATTGAAAATTGGGTAAAAAAGGCATGGAGAAGAAGAAATGAGAAGTTGTTGCAATGATTGTGTGGATGAAGTGAAGTTGAATGCGAAAATGGATAAATACTGAATATGAAGCTTTTAAAAACATTTAAAATAACTTGCGCCAAAAAGGAACTTTGCTTTTAAAATTTGATTTTTAGAAGCTCTTATTGTAATGGGAATGGCGTTTCCAAATTTTTTCTTCCTCTAGAAGTGAGACCGTTGCGTCACTCTCATGACATGATTTCATATTAACATTATTTCTGACCTTCGATCGATTTTTCAAGAAAACATAAAAAAAATAATTATAATATGCATCATACTTGATTAGCATTTTTTTGTAGTTGGATTTGTTGCCTACTTCACAAATTCAACTGACTTTATGATGAATAGATTTAATACAACTTTAGGCATACACCAAAAACAAAAAGCGACAGACAACTTGCTAAGGAAATTAAGAGGAAAAAAAAAAAAAAAAAAAAAATTTTACTCCATTCAACTTTGTAAAATATAGCTTATATCACAACTTGAAGAGAAGTTTGACAAATGCCAGCTATCTATCCATGTGGCTCTATGGAGTTTCTTCAAGAGAGAATTTAGAATGGTCAATTGATAAGTTAGAAAATATAACTATTGTCCACACAGTAGGCAAAGCAAAACATAATATGGACTACAAATAGTCAAATACCGATATCTATGTCCTATCCTTTTTATGCCCTACCCTGCCAAAACAAATTTAATTTTAATTGTAGAATACAGAAGACAGTACCTTGTTATTGAAGTTCCGTTGACCATTATGAGGAAAGCAATCTTCACCTCCGCCAACCTTTAACTGCAAGTAGAAGAGCATGGAACAATTGTAAATGTGCAATGTAAAACAACCTGCCCAAGATCCATCAAAAGACTGGTCAATAATCACCTTGGGTACCTCGAGGCCCTAGCTATCACTTGAGTAGGCTACTTTTTGATTCAAATGCTACAAGTAGCAAGGAGTCGGCTGTCATCATAGCAATAGCTATCTTGTATTTGGGAGACGAGCCCGAAATAGATCTATTATTGTAAAAATATAAAAGTTGCATATCTAGGAACTTACAATAGGTGCGCAGATGCATAAATAAGTTGGCGAAACACTATTTAACACGTTGATACCAGTACAACAATAACCATGGGAAGAGAATTATGTATTGAAGACATCAAACATAATTGTTATTAGAACTTGGAATCTTAGTTGTCACTCTGGATCCTAACAGGATGCATTCCAAATTTAATGGAATGGAAAATATAAAATCATCAAGTGTGCCTTCATAATATAAAAGATGTACCACAAATTACATAGTAATACAGCTTTTTTGTTTTCACTATATGCAAAAACATGATTAGGATAGAGATTATAACAAAGTTGGACAAAAAAGGATTTCACTGAGATAAATATAAAATATTTGAGCTAGTCATGGATGTCATAAACTAGGGGTTCACCATTCTTCACATTCAAATCTCCATAAAAAAAAAAAAAGAAAAGAAAAGGCAGACTACACCTCTAATATTAGGTTATATACTCATTTTCCAAGCATCAAGGTTTTGATGTTGCTTATACCATTTAATTCATTCAATTTAAAACCATTCACATGTACACCACAAATAAAGGGTATCAAGAGTCGACCAAGAACACGAGTTTTATAGAAGCAAACATATAAGAATACCATGAAACATACCTTGCACAATTTATGCAAAGCACCATTTATTCAAAAAGGAAAACAAACCAATAATGGTTAACAATTTCATTCAAAGACCTTTAACTTGCCAACTTTAATATCCATAAAAAAAAAATCAAGATAAAACCATGGCCCCATTTAGCAGAGCACGACACTGGGCTCTGGAATTGATTTCTCAAAATATAACATGATGAATCAAGCCTAGAATCCTAAGGATCTAATAACATAGAACATAACAGTTTGAATCTTCAACAAAGTGAATGACCCAATAACCTAACTAACGGAGAACCTAACGAAATTAAATCAAGAACAATATGGTCAATATTACCATTTGTCATAAATTTGGATTCGCAATATGCCGATCAATCATAAATACAGATCTAGAACAAGAAATATCACAATCTTCACCTGCTGATGGCCTTCAAGTGGAGTCAAAAGTGGAAAGCAATCCCCAGTGGACCGTTGATGCAAGTATTTACAATTATCCCCATATCTACAGTACCAGTGATTGCACAATTTTTCAATCTTTTTAAAAGTCTCCTACCAGCACTACCACTACTACCTGGCAGCGATTGCACTCTTCTAGGCATGTTATTAAAATAATATTTCCCACTCCTTATTTGGCTACAACCACTGATCATATTATTCCAAGAAACAACATTTCTCTCTGGCATTGACCAAAAGATCCGAATATCTTCATTTAATCGCCCTTCTTTAATATAACCACAATCAAAGTTGTGTCGAAACCACATTTGGTTCATACGAATCGTCAAACACCCTTTCAGCATCCCTAATATTGTTTAACAATACGTAGAGATCTAACATTGCACTACCCACAAAGATATCAAAATTAAGACCAATTTTTTTCGCGAAAGAGTGAACCTGCTGGCCTAAGTAGAGATCTTTTAAAAGAATACTGGAACGAGTTACAGTACCAAAAGTGTACTCATTCGGTTGGATATTCAAATGAAGCATTGTTGAGAACAAAGTTATTGCTTCTTTATGCTGGTTTTGTTTGGCGAAGTTGCATATCAAAGTTGTCAATGGTACAACATCTTGTGTAGACATTTCATCAAGCAGTTGAGAAGCATATGAGAACGCATTTGATTCATAACAAGATGGCAAAATAAATAGAATTTTAAGCCATACTTCTTATGCTTGTAAACTTTGAGAGAAATCATTGAAAATCAACATAAATCACCCAAATTGTTAAAACTCTCTACTTACTCCAGCCTGGCATTTTTTTACTGCAAAAACAAAACAAAACTCTAAGAATCTTAATTCACTATTTCCTTTTTTCTTTCAGAGAAAAATCACTCAAAAAGATGCAGAAAACACACAAATTTGCAATTGATACACAGATACGCCAATGTACGGAGAGAGACAGAGATCTCATACCCTTAAGTGTTTGCCATTTACTGGTGATGTTCCAAGATCCTCGAGCAACAACTAAAGCCACCAAGTAGCTTAGCTGAACAACTGAAAATAGGAAAACAAGAAACCACAGCTTATACATTGCCGGCATCAAAACGTTCGCCATAAAACTTACGTGGAACTGAAAGTTATACTTGTGATTGAACTATTTTAGCTTCTTCAGATATTATAATCGGAAAATGTGAAGCAGAGTAATTGGTACAGTAGAACTCCCTCTGAGCATTATCAAAGAAAAAGGTTGAGAGAGAGTAGCCAGCGATTCTAAGCTTTTAGTTTCTTTGTGTAAAGAAATTGTTTAACTCTTGATTCGGTTGGTTAAACTCTTTAGTTAGAAATCAGTTTAATGAGTTAGAAAATCAGTTGGAGCCTCTTAGATTCTAACAGATTTTCTGTTTTTAGTTTTAACTGAACCTTACATACATTTTCTTGTATATCTCTACAGTCCTTTGTCTATAAATAGGACTCGAAGCTGATAACTTGAGAGAGCAAGCAAGAGTGAAACGTGAGTGTGTGGGGAATCACATTCTGTGAGCAAGAGGGATGATTTTCTGTAGTTAGAGAAAGAAAGATAGTGAGAGAAAAAGTCTCTGCAACACCTCTTTGTAACTTTCTGAAAGTTTTCTGGTAGTGTCTCGTTTTTGAGTGATGAGTGCTAGTGTTTTGTGAAAATAAACACTCTGTAATATTCTGTTGAATGGTAGATTGACTGGGGGGAAATTTCCCTGCAGTGGTTGAAGAAATTTGTTCCAGAAAACATCAAATTCTTGTGTCAAAATCTGATTCTTTGCCGGGTTTATGTTCTACCAAGTCTGTGTCTTATTTTCTCATGCTGTAAATCTGAATTGATCAAGCATTGAAGAGAGGAAAAATCCTAACAGTGGTATCAGAGCCTGATTGTTCTTGGGCTTCATAAACTGAATATTCTTCCAGGTTCTTAATTGAGATCTTTAGAAGGAAGTGTTGAACTGACTTGCTGGCCAGAAGTTCGACTCAACATGTCTTATTCAAGATTGAAAATTGAAAAGTTCGATGGGAAGGCCGACTTTAGTTTATGCCAGGTTAAGATGAAAGCACACTTGGGAAATCTTGGATTGGACGAAGCTCTCAAGGATGAATCTGAGATGCTTGAAGAACTTACAGGTGCAAAGAAGGCAGAGGTGTTAAAGAAAGCCAAGAACATTATTGTTCTAAGCCTAAGTGATCAAATTCTTAGGAAAGTGATTAAAGTAAAGACGGCGGCTGAGATGTGGAGCAAATTGGAAGAGCTTTACAAGACCAAGGCTCTACCAAATAGAATTTACCCGAAACAGAGGTTTTACAGCTTTAGAATGGATGATATGAAATCTATTGATGAGAATGTAGATGAATTCACCAAGCTGGTTACAGATCTTGAAAATCTTGACATCAAGATAGAAGAGGAAGATCAAGGCATCTTCCTGTTGAACTCTTTACCAAAGCCCTATGAACAACTAAGAGACACTCTCAAGTATGGGAAGAAGATTCTAACTTTAGAAGAGGTTATAAGTGCAGCTTACTCTAAAGAATTAGATTTGAGAACTAATGGAGATCAACCAAAGCCTTATGGAGATGTTTTGATTGTGCAAGACAGGAATGATCAGAGAGATAATCAAGGTAAGAAAAGAGGTAAGTCCATATCCAAAACTAGAGATAAGAAGGTTTGTTGGGTTTGCAACAAAGAAGGACATTTTAGAAATGAATGTCCTCAAAGAAATAACAAAGGACAAAAGCAAGAAAATCACAACAATGGAGACTTGGCTAATTTCTTGGATGGTTATGAAACTGCTGATGTTCTGTTTGTGACATGTTTAGACACCAAGGATGAATGGATTATGGATTCTGGGTGCACATTTCATATGACACCCAGACAAGACCTTTTCTTGGAGTACAAACCAGATCATGGAAGTAAAGCTTTGCTGGGAAATAATTATAGTTGTGATATAGTGGGTGTTGGAGCTCTTAAGCTGAAAATGTGGGATGGTAACATTCTGATCTTGAGTGGTGTAAGACATATACCAAGCCTTAAGAGGAATTTTATCTCACTTGGCACTATGGATGAATCTAGTTGCATCTACAAGGCTCAAGGTGGAGCACTCGAGGTTATGAAGGGATCTTTGGTTGTAATGAAAGGTCTATTGCAAAAGGGTCTGTATATTTTGCAAGGCACAGCTATCAATGGTGAAGCTACTATTTCTGAAAGCAAGGAAGATCATGATGTGTTGTGGCATGGAAAGCTTGGACACAAGAATGCCAAAGGGTTACTAGAGTTGGGAAAAGCACACAAGTTTAAGTTTGCATTTGTTACTCAAAAAACCAAAGCTGATCTTGGATATATCTGTTCGGATTTGAAGTACTCATCACAGGAAAATCACCAAGAGACTGACCAAAATGGTGGAGCTGGAAATCTGCATAATGAGATGCAAGTGAGGAAGCTGAAGTTAGAAGAAGTTCTGATTGGCCAAAGGGTAACAAGCAGGAGAAAGTTGAAATCTTTTGTATGCAAGATATAATTTCCAAGAGGGAAGTTGAAGTGGTGAAGGTTGCCACTAAAGTTGATCCTGCTGAAAGGCTGATTTGCTCACCAAAATTAATTCCAGTTAGCAAGATCCATGAGGCATTGGATGGCTGAAGATTAGAGCTGGATGTTCAATCATGCAGGGTGTTCTTAAGGTGTTTTAGTCAATCTTGATTTAACAAAACTCATCAAGACTCAAAGGTGGAGATTGTAAAGAAATTGTTTAACTCTTGATTCGTTTGGCTAAACTCTTTAGTTAGAAATCAGTTTAATGAGTTAGAAAATCAGTTGGAGCCTCTTAGATTCTAACAGATTTTCTGTTTTTAGTTTTAACTGAACCTTACATACATTTTCTTGTATATCTCTACAGTCCTTTGTCTATAAATAGGACTCGAAGCTGATAACTTGAGAGAGCAAGCAAGAGTGAAACGTGAGTGTGTGGGGAATCACATTCTGTGAGCAAGAGGGATGATTTTCTGTAGTTAGAGAAAGAAAGATAGTGAGAGAAAAAGTCTCTGCAACACCTCTTTGTAACTTTCTGAAAGTTTTCTGGTAGTGTCTCGTTTTTGAGTGATGAGTGCTAGTGTTTTGTGAAAATAAACACTCTGTAATGTTCTGTTAAATGGTAGATTGACTGGGGAAAAATTCTCTGCAGTGGTTGAAGAAATTTGTTCCAGAAAACATCAAATTCTTGTGTCAAAATCTGATTCTTTGCTGGGTTTATGTTTTGCCAAGTTCGTGTCTTGTTTTCTCATGCTGTAAATCTGAATTGATCAAGCATTGAAGAGAGGAAAAACCCTAACACTTTGCAGAATATTTTCTTTTGGAGATGACACTCCTCGTGCAGCACAGAGAGTGACGGACACTAAGCGTGCACTCTTCATGTTGGATGGAGGGTGAGCACTCTTCATCCAGCATGAAGAGTCCACTACCGTGGAGCACGAAGCAGCATAGCAGTCTCTGTGCAGCGCGGAGAGGCATGCTCTAAATCCTACAAAAAAGTCATCAAGATGGCACAGAAATAGATTGCAAAATACGTGATTTAAACTTGGATAATGTATTTATGGATTCTCCTAGGCATAAATTTAAACATGTAGATAGTAAATAATCCCAGTAGATTTTCACCTCCTTTTTGTCTTCATCTATTCTTCTACGGCTGTCATCAACAATTGAAAGGTCTAGCAAATCTTACCTTCATAGAGCAAAAAAGAAATCTTCTACTCAATTCTTTGAAGTAATCGGAAGCTTAAACCAGGGCGGAGATTACACAAAAATAAAAAGAAAATAATGAACCCCGTCCAAAATACAATTTAAGCCTTCTTTTGCAATTCAAAGCGGAACAATAGTAACTGATCAACACCGTCCACATCTCCGCACTCCGCTGTGTGCGCGAAGTTTTCTCCCGCCACATATGTGCATGCCCACCTTGTATTTATATCCAACTAAATTTAATCTTTCAAGATTCAATTATATTTACACAAAAATTAAAAAGAGAATGATAGCGTAACTTACATAAACCAGAAATTCTGTACAATTTAAGCCTGCAATTTTATTTGATTTTTGGATTTGGAATGAGATTCCAAAAAAGAAGAAAGGTAAGGAAGATGATGAAGAAGAATACAGGACTGGTAGTTTGTGTGAAAAAATGGAGAAAAAATACACATCGTGCAACACATTGTTTTCAGCTAAAGAAATAGGAAAAAAAGTACAAGACGATACATATTTATGACATGTGTCCAGCCAAAGTTTCTCTCTTTTATATAGGATGTGTTGGGCTAAAATAATTCCTTCGAAACATGTTACTATTTTGATTCCAAGGATAACATCAGCAACATCCAAATATTTTATTTTAAAGTGCTTTTTCAAAAACTGTTTAGTCTTATTAATCACATCTAAATTAGTTCTCATTATCAGCATATCATCAACATAAAAGAAAATTATCACATCATAATTATTTTCAAATTTTCTATATATGCAACTTCTGCTTCTTTTATCACATAACTACTTGATATTAAAAATTTATTAAATTTTTCATGTCATTACTTAGGAGCTCATTTAAGGTCATAAAGGGATTTTTTTAAATTTACGTACTTTATCATCAAGGCCTTCAACAACAAATCCCTCATATTGGTCCTTATAATGAAACAATGGCAATTAACATCCTAGTAGAGGTAATCCTAGTAACAAGTGAGTAAGTATCAACGAAGTCAACTCCATTTTGTTTATAGCTTTTAGCTATATAAGGCTTGCTTTATACTTATCAATGGAAATGTTTTTTTTTTCTTTCTTTTTTTTTTTTAAACAACCATCTATAACCAATAATCTTATGTCCTTGAGGTAAGTTTACTAACTCACAAGTATTATTAGACATAATGAATTATATTCACTATTTATAGCTTCCTTCCAAAATATATAATCTACTAAAGACATATTTTCACCAAAAGTACTAGGATTATCATCTATTAAGTAGTTTAGAAAGTAAGCATCAAAAGAAGTAGTGGTCCTAATTCTTTTGCTTCTCTTAATTTCAGCTTCTTCTAATTTAGTAGGCCCCTCTATAACATTAGGAGGAATACAAAAAGAACTACTTGGTCCTCTAGACTTTTTTTTATAAGGAAATCTGTTTTTAAAAAATTCAGCATCTCTCGTTTCAAAAATTATGTTCTTTTCGATCAAATCATTTTTAGAGTCAATGACTAAAATATGTAGGCATTATTGTGAAGAGCGTAACCTATAAAACACAATCAAGAGCTTTTAGACCAAGTTTAGTTCTCTTATGTGCTGGAATGGAAGCTTTAGCTAAACACTTCCACAATTTGAGATATTTATATAAAGGTGTTCTACCCTTTCATATTTCTTAAGGGAACTTATTATTTTTCTTACTAGAAATACTGTTAAGAATATAACATGCAGTAAGAAAGGCAACTTTCCACATGTTAAAAAGTAATCTAGAAGACTTTTATATAGAAATGATTATATCCTTAAGAGTTCTATTTTTCCTTTCAACTACACCATTAGAATGGGGAAAATAAGGTTGAGTAACCTCATGAATAATATTATTATCATCACAGAATTTATCAAAATCACCTATATATTCTCCTCACCTATGATATTTT